GTTCATATTGGACTTGCGTATTCCACGTGTATTTTCTAATAAATATTTTGTGCATATATATAATGTTATTAATCAACTTTAAATATTTTTTCTTTTCAAAATTCTTTCATTTGTTATTTATTATTTTAAGTTTCTTTTATTTTAGAGTTTTCGTACTTTTTTACGTGTTTTACTTTCACTTATCAATAAACACTTAAATAGTTAGTACATTACGTGTCCCTTCTTTTAAAAAAAGATTATAGGTTCAAGTTGAACATGCGTGTTCCACGTGTTCTTACTAGTAAGTTTTTTTTATTGGTGTAGATATGTAATGTTATTAATAAAATTTAAATATTTTTTGTTTCAAATTTTTTTTCATGTTTAATATATATATATATATATATATGTAGTGTTATTAGTAAAATTTCTATATTTTTTTTTTAAAAATTTGTTATTTTTATTTTAAATTATGTTTGTCTTAGCGTTTCGTATTTCGTTTTCGTGTTTTGATTTTTATCTACGAGGAAATATTTACTTGAATAGTTAATAAATTACGTGTCAATCTCTCTATAAAAGACTGTAGGCTTGAGTTGAACATGCGTATACCACGTGTTCTTGTTAACGAACATTTTTTACAATTGTTGTATATATGTAATATTATTAATAAAATTTATATATATATATATATTTCAAAATTATTTTATTTTTATTTTAAATTTCTTTTATTTTAGGGTTTCCTATTTTTTTACATGTTTTTTTTTTCTATTCAACAAAGAGTAGTTACTTAATATATATTATGTATCCCTCTCTCTATAATAGATTATAAGTTGTTCAAGTTGAAGTTGTGTGTTATTTACGTGTAATATTATCAAATTTATGTACTTATTCTCTAATATATATACATATATATATACACAAATAATTGAATTTGTGAATTATAATGTTGGTGTTAATTTGGCAGGATGTTAATCCAGTTGGTGGGACGTTTTGGAACAAAGAAATGGTCTCAGATTGCTAAGATGCTGAGAGGAAGAGTCGGGAAGCAATGCAGGGAGAGATGGCACAACCATTTGAGGCCTGACATCAAGGTCTCTCTCTCTCTCTCTCTATACTTTTATACAGATATATACATACACATATAGAATACATATACACCAAAATCTGCATATGCACAACACAGCAACCTTTCCAACATATGATATCATGTGTTCATTTTCTGTTCAAAGCAAAAAGCTTCGAACATTATATGTACATTTAATCATTTTCATTTTATACTACATATATATATATATATGAATACACATACACGAGCATTAATTATATTAAAGCATATTACATATATATATATATATATGTGTGTGTATAGGAAACTTCTGTGGGACTAGATAGAGATATGTATTTATACAGTACTTTTATTACATTTAAAATAAAATATTTTAAAATAACTTTTTTACTTTTATATTTTTTATTTTATTATATTTTATGTCTGTATTATACTTTTTTTATGCGTGTTTTATAAAGTATATAATTATTTACTTTATTAATCCATCTGTCATTAAGCGCGTGACAACACATGTCGATTCATCTGTCGTTGAGCGCGTGACAACGCATATTGACATGCATTGCGACGGGTGCTAGTTGGACTCCAAGTCATTCGACTCAGATTTTATTTTTGCTAAAAATTTTAAATTTTAAATTTTAAAAATTTACATTGCATGTAAATTACCATTTTTTTTTTCTTAAACTAGGTTAATTATTTCTTTCAATATTTGAATGTATATCGTCATTTAGTGATGTAATTACAGATATATATATATATATATATATATGAAACGTATATCCATCATAACTTATAGTGACGCCATCCTAGATGTATGTATGTATAAATGTACGTCTGCAAAATGCATGTGAATTCCGTATCTTTGTATATATGCTATACTATTGATATTAATGCATACCCACTTATCTATATATGTATGTAACCACGCAAAATAAAACTTTTACATATATATACACACCATTTACACCTGTATCTCATTTGTTCCATATATATATATATATATATATATATATATATACACCCACAAAGGAACTTGAATTAGGATGATATTAATACAATTGCTTGCTTAATTAGCGCATGGCATAGCTAGACTCAAGCTGAACTTCCTCTTCATGCATCTCCTCCATCTATATAGTAATAATATTAATAATAATCAATTATTACTAATTAAATTATTAATAGATTTATTTTCTTATAGGAGTTTCGGTACAATGTATTTTTATTGAGGGATTATATTTAATTTTGTTATTATTAATATTTATTTATCCCTTAATTGATATATCTATATATATATATATAAGAACTAGTGGATAGATAATAATAATAATATTAATATTTTTATTGAGGGATTAATAGATTTATTTCTTTGTAAGAGTGTATGGGTTCGAATTTATTTTCGTTTGAAAATTATATTTTATATAGATAAAATTAATATTTATGTATAATTTAATTGATGAATGTATGAATACAGAAGGAGGAGTGGACAGAAGAAGAAGACCTAATCCTGATCAACGCTCACCAGGAGATCGGAAACCGGTGGGCTGAGATGACTCGGAGGCTCCCAGGCCGCTCTGAAAACACCATCAAGAACCACTGGAACGCAACCAAGCGAAGACAATCCTCCAGCCGCAGATCAGGCAAAAATAGCGGCAAGCCAAAACATGAGATGCTCCAAAATTACATCAGAACTGTCACGGCCTCTGGTTCATCTTCAACCTATTCCAACACCACCTACAACCAGAAAATTCCCGTCGTCCCCGCCGGCGCCGGAGGATTTATCGGCTCTGGTACTCTCCCCAACTCCGGCTATGGTGGCTGGCCATTCACTCTTGCACCTGCTTCCAACGAGAACAATGATCAGGGAATAGATTTCTCTTATGATGGAGGATCGAGCATGGAGGTTAATGAAGGTAGTGAACGTAGCAGCTATGGCTATGGCGGGTACCCGATGGTTGACGATGGGATGGAAATTGGGTCGGGTCATGCGAATGGTTCCGGGTCTGCTGAGTCCGTTTACAATGCAAGCAGGGGGATGGAGTTTGACATGGGGGCAAGGATGGATGAAGATCAGGTGTATCATCAGAACAACTGGATGGCCATGCATGGCGGAGAGCAGGAGATGAGGAAGGAGATGGACCTGCTGGAGATGCTCTCTCATGGCAAAATCTGAGCTGGATACTCATCAGCTAGCTATTATCTCTTCATGATACAGAAATATATACATAAACAGAGTAGTATAGCAGCATGTAATATACCCTAGACAGTTTAAACAGGGTGCTTTAATGACGGTCTGATATGGATGTTGTCGGTTAGTTGTCTTTAGGGTTTAAGTCTAGTTAATTTTCCCGTACAGTCTAAAAGAAGAGGGGAAAAAAGTTAATTTAAGGTTTTTATAGGGGTCGTTTTGCGAGAAAATTTTAGTTTGTGGGTGAAAATATAATAATCTAGAGAAGTGTGTGTTTCATTATGTAGATACAGCAGGAATTTTCTCGCGACGACTATTAGGATTTAGTTGTGTGTTTTGTTTGTTTATGTTTAGCGTCTATAATGTTACAGAGACAGACTTGTATGGATGTTTAATAATATATGTGTTGTGTATATATGCTCTCTCTCTCTCTCTCTCTCTCTCTCTCTCT